TTTTTTTTAATTTTATTTATTTGTTTTTTTCCCCCAAAGCCCTGGTAGATAGTTGTATGTCATAGCTGCACATCCTTCTAGCTGCTGTATGTGGGACGTGGCCTCAGCATGGCTGGAGAAGCGGTGCATCAGTGCGCGCCTGGGATCCAAACCTGGGCCGCCAGCAGCGGAGTGCGTGCACTTAACCACTACGCCATGGGGCCTGCCCAATTATTTCTGTTATACTGATGAGAAAACTGAGATTGAATAATTTGAATAAGATTTTTGTGACTTCCTGTGTGTTAGTGGATTGTAGATATAAAAAGCAGGTGAACACTGCTGTGCCATGTCAAAATCATGGATGGCAGTGAGCTAATAATATTAATAGGTTTCAGGATTTATGATTGCCTTTTTGCTAAGGAGCAAATGCTGAATGTTAGACTTCTACTCTGTGGGCTTGCATGGATACAGCAGTGAACAGGCCTTGGATCATTTTGTTTATCCAAAATACTTCCAAATTTATAGATAAATTCCCTCTCTGAAACACACAGACAGGAATTATTTATTGACAGAACACAGTATCATTGACTCCAGGCTTCAAGTTGCCTCTGAAGCAGCATTTCATCCTTGTTAGTTTGTCAAGGCCTGTAGGTGTCCACATGCAATGAGAGAAGGCTTCAGGAGAAGCTGAGAAGACAGCATGGCATCTCACGACGGATACTGGTCTTTCTTCTCGTCTTTTGGGTCCCTTTGGCATTTGAATGACAGTCATTGTGTTCTCTAAAGCTTCCTTTAAAGAACCTTGGTATCCATTTTTTCAAATGAGGAGTCAGCATGTTGGACCCCTGAACATTTGACGTCCCTACCAGTGCCCCTGCAGTAGCTTCATTTGCAGATGGCAGTGGCAGTCATTTAGAAATGGGCAGGAGCAGTCCTTGCTTTGGCTGCCATCTGCTTGTTTTGCATGTCGAAGCTCCTGGCAAGCATCTAAAAGCATCCCAGACTGAGGGAGAGTGCCTCCCCGGTAGTCCTGATGCAGCTTTTCTTGTGATTGTTGATCCTCCTGCTCGGCTACCTGGCTTACGCCAGGCCCGCAACTGGGAAGGAGGCAGTGTGGTGCAGGGGAGAAAACTGTGACTCCACACCGGTAACCGAATTCTCTGTGTTTGCCCAGGGAGGACTGCTGCCTTTTCAGCGGAAGGGAAATTCCTAGGACTGGCTGTGCCCTGCTGAGACCAGTGGAGTGGATGTACGGCCCCCATCTCCTGTTCATTTGCCAGTCTCCTCCCACTGAGAAGGTGGGCGGTCAGTCCACGTTTGGGCCTTCCTGAGTGGTCTGCTTTCTGAGTACAGCACTCTTGATCCTAAGTACACGCACATCCCTGTGGATGAGGAGCCCAGAGGGGACGTGTGCTTTCTGTTAAACTGCTCTGGTCTTCATCTTTTCTTATCAGATTCTAAGCTTTGTTTTCAAGGGGAGGGTTTAAAAATGGGATTCTGAACGCAAAATGGGGCAGTTTCACCTTGGAATCAGTTGTCTGTACATGTTCTAATGTTTTGTAGAACACTTGTACCTGTTTAAATGTATTGATGTGGATAATATTAAATGTCTTAATTATTTAAATAATTCATTGTATTGTTTCTGAGAAGTGGAGGAATTACCATATACATTTACAACTTAATGACTTTTGTATTTTATTTTTCAAAATAAAAGCTTTAAATGTGAAGCAATCTGGTAGTTGACATGTTTTCATTACTGTGATTTCAGAGAAGCAGTGAAACCTTATCAGGTGGAGATCTGGTAAACCAAAGTTTCTTCAGTTGGCTGCATTGTAGCGATTCTCCTCTATGCATCAGACTTTCTTAGTGAAGTTTTTGCTGTAATTTATTTCACAGAGACCTGCTACCATCCATTTGTCTCAGAATCCCATTCTTCTATTTCATGCTTACATACTATATTTAAGGACAGAGAAGTTACTGTTTCCAGCTGTTTTCTAGAAGCCATTGTTGTAGAATACAGAATGACTAGATAATAATAGTAATTCCCATTTATTGAGTGTCTTCTGTGTGCCAGCCACTGAACAAGGTATTTTGTATGTTATGTTTTCCCTGGCCAGAAAACTGTACCTCTTCCCGTCTCATTCATCTCAGTAATTACAATATTTTCTACCCAGTCACTCAAACCAGAAACCTGAGTCTTGCTTGATTTCATCCCTTTTCTCACCCAACACATACAAGATCATTGATTCTACCTTCATAATATTTCGTGAATCCCACACTTCCCTTCAGCTCCACTGTCCCCACCCTAATCTAAGACATCACCATCTGTCACCTAGACTACTGCAATAGCTGGCCTCCTGAACAGCATCCCCATTTCTACTCTTGCTGCCCTCAAATCTGTTTAGCACACAGCAGAGTAATAGTTTTAGAAGACACATCTGGACATGACCCTCCCCACTTAAAACTTTTCGGTGGCTTACCATTTCATTTACAATAGAATTCAGACTCCTGCCGTGATCCCACCGCTGCCTTCCTCCCTCACCTCACCCCTTGTGCTCTAGGGTTCTTTGCATTTCCTGGAACACACCAGGTAAGCTTTTCCTACCTCTGCACATATTATTCTTCTCCCCGAATGTTCTTCCCTTTGCTCTTTGCCTGATAGCCTCCTTCCCAATTCTCTGGTCTCAATAAATTTCGCTTCTTCAGAGAGACTTTCCCTGACCCCTTGAATGGAAAAGTAGATGCCCCTCCTACCTGCCTTCTTCACCGTATCACCTTATCACACTTTGCAGTTTTTAATCTGTTTGTTGACTTTTTTTTTATTGTCTGTCTCTCATACTAGATGGTAAGTCCTGGAAGACATAGACTGTGTCTTTTCTTGTCCATTTTTGTACCCCTGACACCTAGCAAAGAGTCTGGCACATTCTAGGAACCCAGTAAAATACTTGGTGAATGATTATTCCTCCCAGAAACCTCTGACATATTGTTTTTCAGATGAGGAAACAGAGGTTCAGCCGGGTCATGTCACTTAGACAAGGCCCCTCGGCTAGTGCCGCAGTGGTGGCCTGGGATCTAGGCCCAAGCCTGACCCAAATATTCTTTCCACTCCGCTCCCTGGCCTTGTTCCCTTCAATTTACGATGAATAGTGCTTCCAGATCTAGCCTCTGTTCACACTATGTTGTAAGTCACTCCTTTGTTCAAAAACCTTTGATTCTCCAAGGCCTAACACAGTCCATCTAAACTAGTCTGCCTCTGCAATATGGCTTCACTACTCCCTTGTTTATGGCACACTTCGTCCCTGTCTCCTTACACTCCTTTCACTTTCTACTTCTTCCAGATGCCTATAAACCCAATCCCTCTGCCCTCTACCTGGGAAATCCAGCCTCATTAAGGGCTCAGCTCTCTTAAGTCCCATTTCTTGTTACTCAACTGCTTCAACCTCCAAATAGCAGTAAAATCAGCTGCAGCATAACTATGTATATATATACACACTAGGGGAAGGGGGAGAATCCACCCCCTCTTTCCCTCTGGTTCTTATGGCTGGTCAAATGATTAAAATGACATAAGGCAGGTTAGGAGGAGAAAATAAAAGGAAGTTTAATAACGTGTATACATGGGAGAAACCCAGGAAAACAGCAACTTGCCAGCATGCCCGAAGTTGCCACCTTAAATACCATCTTCAGCTAAAGACAAGGAGGATGTTGGGGGTAGTGGTTTGGGACTTCAAAGGGGAGAAAGGCAATTTACATGGAGACAGAAATGCAAGTGTTTGTTAGACAACTGTCTGGTGGGCCACCTAGAGAGAATGTGGCCCCAGAAACAGAACTTTGATGAAAGTGGGCTTGTTGGTGCCTTTCTTATTACACCTATTTTACATTATACTATAGTTATCTCATGGTACTAGCTGCCTCCTGGAACAGGCCTTCTATCTTAAATTCTTTTAGGTAGTTTGGAGGAAGGTCAAATGTTCTTCCTGAGTCTTCTGAGCCTTTATTGTCTTCAGCTCAAAATAATCCACATACCAGAGTGGCACATCTTGGGGCAGCCTGCCTTGAACCCCATCTATATCTATATATAAATTTTTTATGTATATATTTTGTTGTTGTTGTTTTTTGCTTATATCTGTGTTAGTCGTACATCACCAACTTTATAGGGAGGAGGTCACATACCCCTCTAGAGCTGATCAGAATGGGAGAGGAAGACATCCTTATAACTCAGCCTGATTCCAATATTTGCCCCTAAAGGAATATACGATTTTTATTCCCCACACCTGCCCACCCCTAGAGATGCCACTGTTGTGGATGGGAGTGTACTGGAATAGGAAAAGGGCAGAGAACCACTGCACAAAATGGCAAAGAGCAACCACCACACAACTGGCCTGAAGAAGCAGACACTGTGGTTATCTCCATCCCTGTTGACGCTTCTTGCACAAAGCTATATTTCCCTCTAGTCTGAACACAATTCTTTTGAGCCCAGTGAAGAAGAGCCTTTCTGTTCCATATGCCATCTTCGATCACCTTTATGAAGATGACTTTATATTTGTGAAATGTTGTGATTTGATGGAATCAAATGGAAGTACTGTTGAACAAATGAAAGATGACTGGAGTAAAATTTAAAAAGAGGTCACTGAGTAAGAGACCAGGGTGGGCATGTGGCCTGTGGCCGTCAGAGAGCTTCCTGGAGCCAGCATAGCTGTGGCCGCAGCTGGCAGGGGAGCCTGAGAAGCCAGAGAGAGGCTGGTGTCCTCAGTGGATACAGGGGGAACTTAGAGAGAGCATGAGCCATGAAGAATCATAGAATTTTAAAACGAGAAAAAAAAATCTTGGTAATCACTTAGTCAAGTAATTATTTTCATAACATCTATCAAGAGCTTCTCATGGTCCAGGCCCTGTGCCAACCTCTACATGTTTAAATTCATTTAATTCTCATAATCACCCTCTGGGTAGGTACTATTACTACCCACATTTTACAAGATGATGAAACTGACCGAGGGAAGTAAAGTGGCTAATACAGCTGGTGAGTGACTAAGTCAGGATACAAATACAGCAGCCTGGCTCCAGGGCCTACGCCCTTAACCCATCTCTACCTCCCAACAGTCATCATTACACTAGAATAGAAACTCATCATTAGCACTGAGTGACAACTATTTAAGTACCTCCCTTGTGCTTAGTAATTTGGTGTACCGAGAAGTGTAGGCAGATCGCTGCCCTTGGAAAATTATGGTCTTGGTGAAAATTTTTAAAAATGCACATAAAATAATTATTTTAAGCTCTATCTAACAAAACTTAAAGTATTGCCTACCAAAACCTGGCAGATAGGTGATAAGTAATGGTCTAGGCCACTCAGTGTTGCCCCAAAATCTGGATTTCTAGGGAGCTAAAAATCCTGGGGCCATCTGGGCTTTTTTCTCTAGCAAGGTCAGTATTTTCAGACTTGAGTTCCCTTTCCTGCTTGTTTGTCACTATCCAACAGTCTTCTGCAGAGACTTCATGTCTTTGCATAAAGCAGAGCACTCCCTTAGTTACCCTGAATTGGGCAAAAGAGGTAATTTTTATTCATTTGGGGTTTAAGTTCTAACAAAGCAGTTCATTAAGTATTGAGAGTGTGTGTGTGTAATCTTGTTAGACATAAAAATAAATTACTTTGATTCTCCCTTTGGAGTTTGTTGATTATTACTGAAGATCCAAAATTGAATAATTTTCACAATAAAACCATTATTTTTGTTGTTATGTGCTGTAGAAATGGCTTTATGTATGGCCTTGCCCTGAAAAGGAAGGCCTAAAATGCCCTCTGTTGGCCAAACGTGGAATGACTGCTGAACCTGTCAAACAGTTTTCAAGTTGAAAGAAATAAGGAAATAATCACCAATGTGTGCAAAGCTTTCTCTACAAAGATGTCATTGCAATGTAATTTATAAAAACAAAAAATTGGAAACAACCTGACAGGGAATTGGTTAAATGAATTATGGTACAGCCACATAATAGAATACTATTTACTTAATATGATATTGTAGAGAAATATTTAATAACATAGAAAAATGTTCATGTTATATTAAGTGAAAATCTGAGATCACAAAGCTGTTTAGTATGATCCCACTTTTATTATTTGAAGGCTCTCTAGAAAAGTAAATAGAGTAGCTAAATTTTTAGACAACTGAAAGGACATGTGCCAAAATGTTCACAGTGGTGTCTGTGTGGTGGACTTGTGGGGATTCTTGGTTTTTTTGGTGTTTTTTTTTTAAAGATCTGCTTTTATTTGTTGTTTTTTTGTTTTTTTTCTTTTTGTGAGGAAGATCAGCCCTGAGCTAACACCCATGCTAATCCTCCTCTTTTTTTTTCTGAGGAAGACCAGCTCTGAGCTAACTTCTATTGCCAATCCTCCTCCTTTTTTTCCCCCCAAAGCCCCAGTAGATAGTTGTATGTCATGGTTGCACATCCTTCTAGTTGCTGTATGTGGGACGCGGCCTCAGCATGGCCGGACAAGCGGTGCGTCGGTGCGCGCCCGGGATCCGAACCTGGGTTGCCAGTAGTGGAGCGCACGCACTTAACCGCTAAGCCACGGGGCTGGCCCGGGATTCTTGTTTTCTTCTTTCTGCTTAACTCTATTTTCCAAATGTGCTACGATAAACGTGAATTACTTTTGTAAAAAAGTAAAAAACATTATAGAAATTTTTTAAAGAAAGAAATCACAAGGCCTGGCCCGGTGGTGTAGCAGTTAAGTTCGTGCACTCCGCTTCCGTGGCCCGGGGTTCGCAGGTTTGGATCCCGGGCGCGCACTGATGCACCACTTGTCAAGCCATGCTGTGGCGGCGTCCCATATAAAGTAGAGGAAGATGGGCGTGGATGTTAGCCGAGGGCCAATCTTCCTCAGCAAAAAGAGGAGGATTGGCATTGGATGTTAGCTCAGGGCTAATCTTCCTCGAAAGAAAGAAAGAAATCATGAGATTGAACCTGAAAACTGGGGTCTAGGGTAGTGCTGTGACTTCCCCAAGACTACACATCTAGTTAGACTTCAAGTTGACTTTCAGTACATTTATTTTCTAAGTCTCATTATTTAGCCAATTCTTTTGAAGAAAATTAGTGATATTAAAAATCTTCAAGACTTGACTATTGATTGTTGTTCACAAATGAATAACTGAGACTTGAATCAGAAATGAAAGCAGGGTATCGGCTATTAGGACATTTAGATGAAATGCATTTGAAAAGATTACAGTGCGGTTAGCATTGATTTATTTCTCTTAGGCAGGGGTTTGCAAGCTGCAGCCAGTGAGCCAAATCTGACCACGCTATCGTTTATGTTGTCTACGACTGCTTTCTCACAACAGCAGCAGAGTTGAGTAAAGACAGAAACTGGATGGCCTGCTAAGCTGAAAATATTTACTCTCTGGCCCTTTACTGCAGATCTCTGCTCTTATAGATTATTTTAATCCTATATTGGCTCAGGTTTTTTTAATGTTTCACTACGCCTTAATGTTTCTAGCCAACCAAAAAGACTCTCAGCTGGCAATTCCAAACAAATGTCAGAGCTAGGAAGCCCCTAAATGGTAAGTTGTTTTTCCCTGATACCCTTTTACGGCCTCAGAGAAGCAGGCCCCTCCCAGCCTCAAATCCAAAGCATTTGCTAAGTGGGTGGGGATGCCTGGGGGGAGAAAGGCTGTGGAATGGTGTGGAGGCCCCAAGAGATGGGCACATTACGCGATAGGGTGCATTTTATCAGGGTGCAGGGGATAATATATTTCCAGCTAAATTCTTTTTCCACTTGATGGAATCATATTGAGGTAATGGATATTTAAACTGTGAAGTGCTCAAACCTGAACTGATAGACCAGTGGAAATGCCACACACACTGGTGTTGGGGAAGAGGGAGACTCCCCCTCTGCCCTTTCCCTTAAGGTTTTTATGGCTGGCCAAATAATTAAAAGACAGGTTAGCAGGAGAAAATAATACCAAGTTTAATGACGTGTATACATGGGAGAAACCAGGGAAAATGAGTTTCTCAACGCAATGGCAGAGATTCTCATCTTAAATGCTATCTTCAGCTAAAGACAAAAGAGAATGTTGGGGGTGGGGAGGGAGACAGAAGGGAGACAGAAGTCACAATAATCAAGGGTATGCATATTTAAGTCCTCTCTTTCCGTACTGATAAGAGTTTCCACAGATAAGGCCATCCCCACCTCTTCCCAATACAGAGAGGCAGATACCTTTACAAATGGAAATTTCTCTTATAAATGTAAATGTTTGTCTGGCAACTCTTTGCAGGGCCACCCAGAGAATGTGAGCTGGGAGAGACAGAATTTTTGATAAGATGGGCTTATTGGTGCCTTTACTATTGTAACGTCTATTTTACATTGTATTACAGCCATCATATGATAGTAACTCCTTTCTGAAACAAGCCTTCTATGTTAAATTCTTTAGGCAGTTAGTGGGGGAGGTCAAATGTCTGTCAGAGAAAATAATCAAGGTAAAGAGACATATTTCAGGGTGGCCAATTTTGATCTCCCACACTGGGCATGAGGTGGGAAGGAGAATTGGGGAAGTGGCCCCAACACACTCACCCACCCATCAGTGAGATTTGACCATAATGCTTCCAGAGGTGA